AATCTCCGTCCCTCTCTGTGCCTGTCAATCCCTTATATATGTGGGTCTACTGACGCGTCAAGAAACGCCCTTATTTTTCTAATACAATCGAGAACCTTCGACAAGATACCAGTAGACCTACTAACCATGTTTAATTGGAAGCCGGTAGTAAACAAGATACATCAAAAAGATTTAACCAAGCCCATAACATACGTTAACGTCTGCTAGGAGTCTAATGCGGGGTCAAAGAAAGTTCACGCACGGGGAAAAAGTGTACTACATAACAATATATGTGTCTAAATTATATAAATCGATGTGTGTGTGTGGTAATTTTTTTTTTGGTGTGGGGGGTAACTTTGGAAATTCGCCCTGGGTGGCATTTAGACAAGGTACGCCTGTGCTACCCCACTCTCTGAGAAAAAAAATTCGTGTTTTTTTTTTGGAGCCTTTATTCACGTTATGACTCTTTAATCTTTCAAGACATGATGTCATCAAAAGACGGAAGCCTCTAAAACAAAATCCTACCTTCGATGATAAATGTCTTATATGAAATGTTTAAGTATGTGATCTTCTGTACTTTAAAAAAAATCGCTCCATAATTCTATAACGTTTTATGCATGGAGATGATCATCTGCTTTTAAAATAACGTCATTAAAGTCATTATAAAGTTCAAAGTCAAGCCACTACCATAACAGACCACGATGTAAAAAAAAAGAAAAAAAAAAGAAAAGAAATGTATCCTTTCTCGCGCGGCTGATAAAAACCCATGACTTCATGGGCTCCATGTGCCCCATGTGCCCAATGTGCCTTTTGGTTAATCCGACACGACTTTAATGGATTGGATGAATATAAAATATTTAAAAATTGGAGATTGTAATGCGTACACCTTAGCTTGATGCGCTAGCAAGATTAACTTAAATCTTTAAAGAATCCAATGAACTGAGATGTGTGATACTAACAGTAAATATTTAATTTTCGTTGAGCTACATTATAGTTGTAAAAAACAGTAGGTCTATAACATAATTATGCTGTATTGACAAAGGGAACACTGAACTCTATTGTCTGGTCTTGTCAGAAACTAGTTTTCTTCGTGATAAAGCTATTGTTATCGCTAGGTTTAAAAACTAATATTTCATGCAGATTTATCTATACTTTTGTTTAAGGTTGCTACAAATGGATCTTTAGGTTCTGATCGAAATATTTCACCGACAGGCTTCATTGTAAGATTTACATTTTAAGACAGTTTCATTGTAAGACAGTTTCATTGTAAGAGAAATTCATTGTTAATCAGTTTCATTGTAAGAGAGCTCCATTGTAAGACAGTTTCTTTGTAAGGCAGTTTCATTATAAGAAATTATCATTGTAAGAGAGCTTCATTGTAAGACAGTTTCATTGTCAGAAATTTTCATTGTAAGAGAGGTTCATTGTAAGACAGTTTCATTGTAAGACAGTTTCATTGTAAGAAATTTTCATTATAAAACAGTTCCATTGTACGACAGTTTCATTGTAAGGCAGTTTCATTGTAAGTCAGTTTCATTGTAAGACAGTTTCATTGTAAGACAGTTTTATTGTAAGACAGTTTCATTGTAAGACAGTTTCATTGTAAGACAATTTCATTGTAAGACAGTTTCATTGTAAGAAATTTTCATTGTAAAACAGATCCATTGTACGACAGTTTCATTGTAAGGCAGTTTCATTGTAAGTCAGTTTCATTGTAAGACAGTTTCATTGTAAGACAGTTTCATTTTAAGACAGTTTTATTGTAAGACAGTTTCATTATAATACAGTTTCATTATAATACAGTTTTATTGTAAGACAGTTTCATTGTAAGACAGTTTCATTGTAAGACAGTTTCATTGTAAAAAAGTTTCATTGTAAGACAGTTTCACTGTAAGACAGTTTTATTGTAAGACAGTTTCATTATAATACAGTTTAATTGTAAGACAGTTTCATTGTAAGAGAGGTTCATTGTAAGACAGTTTCATTGTAAGACAGCTCCATTGTAAGATAATTCACTGTAAGACAGTTTCAATGGAAGGCACTGTGCACCATAATGCCTCTCCAAGCGTTAAAAAAAATACATTCCTCTGATCAACAGAAACACTGAATCCAAGTAAGCTGAAAAATGCAATTCTTGATTTTGAAATATCAAAATTTTTCTGGGGATGTGATTTCACAGAAAATACTTTTGCACTCCCTTTCCGATAAAAACTTTGTAGTTATCCGGAAATGTTGCCACTCTAATCTAAGTTGGCCACCCTATTCGCCCCTCTTTCAACGCCTCTGTCAGAGGTGTAGCTAGAGTGTCTGGCACCAGGGTACAAGATTTATTTTTACGCCCCCTCCCCCTCCCCCATCACCTCTGAAAGCCATTATTGCTATCCATTAAATACCACCAAAGCCCATTGTGGCGCACTGATAGTCTGGCGGCGCACGAGGACATCTGTCCCCTTAGCTAAGCATCTGACCACTGGCACCCCTGCCATAAAATATAAAAATGCCCCCCCCCCAAAACCTGAGGAAATAGTCTTAAAAAAACACTGCTTCCTGATACTAACTGTAACTTGCTGTGACTAACTTACTAGCACCTACTGGCTGTTTCGAGTTTTTTCTTTTTATAACCTGCTGTTACTTTCTGTTTCTAGCTGTTACTAGCTGAACTAGCTCTCACCTGCTGTTACTAGCTGCTACTTGCTGTTACTAGCTGTTCCTGGATGTTATTTGCTGTTACTCCTTTAATTATATTCCACTTGTCAAGATTACGATCGATGGATTTCATACAAAAGCAAAGCAAGGTAATTGTGAGAACTCAAATTTCTATGATTAGATAATCTGTATTTTAACAACTGTGTCATATAACATTTACTCACTTGCAGCAATACAAACATAAGCCTGTTTCCAATAAAGCACTTGTCAAGTCATACGACATCATTGTATTTCTTTGGCGCCCCACGCTTTTACAAAAAAAAAAAATAAAAAATTATGTGACTGTAAGAACTCTAAAGATTCGGGGGGGGGGGGGAATTTATCTTAAATTTAAAAAGCTTTTTTTTTTTAAAAGTACATTTTAATACTATTTTATTTCCTTATCATAATGCAGAAAAAAATTTTCAATTGCGATTTCCTCCATAAGGATTAAATTGAACTGAACGGATTATTTAGGACAACTCTTTCGTTCGTTGTAAACAAGATTCCAGATGTGATTTTGAGCTTGAACAGCTGCTAGTAATGGCTTACCTGGCACGATACATTATCAGTTAGATACCTTACAAAAGGAACGTTTTAAAATGCCTTGGGATCATTGAATAGTTTAGTTTCAGGATAAAATATTTTCGGAGATTTATTTCATTCAAAGATGAAATGTCTTAAGAATACTAACGGATAAAATAGTGTATACTAATAATTGCTTATATCGCAAGGCTTAAGTCATTAAAATAAAAAAAAAATGTTTTATCAGTAAAAATTGTCTCTAATAATGCGGAGGGATTATTGTTGAAATAATTGTATTTCAATTCAGGTCTTCTGTGATATTTTCTTAGTTTTCAATAACAGATCAATAAAATATTTATGTTGTAACATTAAAATATTAAATTGTTAGTCTAGTCTTCGTTCCAAAAAAATAATTTTAAAAATATTCTCTATCAAAGACTTCACATAATTTTTATTAGTATCTCTATCTCTTTCTCTTTCTGCCTCTCTTTCTCTCTCTATATATCGTTCTATTCCTTTCATTCCCTATATATCTTCTATGTCTCTTTATCTCTTTCTCTTTCTGCCTCTCTCTCTCTCTATGTATATATATTATAAATATCGTTCTATTTCTTTCTTTCACTTACAATCTTCTATATCTCTTTCTTTATCTTTTTTTCTCTTTCTTTCTCTCCCTTTTTTTCTCTTTCTCTTCTATCTCTCTTTTTCTCTCAATTTTCTTCAATCTTACTCTTTCCCTCCCAATTTCTTTCTCTTTCTCTCGATCTTTCTTTCGTTCTTCTCTTTTTTCTTCTTCTCTCTCTCTCTATCTTTTTCTTTCTCACTTTCTTCCCCCCCCCCCACAACTCTCTCTTCTATTTCTCTTGCGCACACATGTAAGTCCAGAAAGACGTACATACTCTAAGAAACACTCCCAAATTTAAGCCTTGAGTATTGGTGGCAAAATATCATACAAATGACTGTTACCCATGTCATGGTTTTCTCATATTTCCTGACACAAACAAGAGACAAGACGCAAGCTCTGACTCCAAGTCAAAGTCACATTAAAACTGGAATGTCGTACTCGGTACTGATCATTTAAGCTTGACTTTTTAAAAGCAAACTTTAACCAGACTTATAGGAAAGATACAATTTTAATTTTTTTTTTTCAATATCGTGTATTTAAATTTTATTCTGTTGTGTTTTCTCTGACATGTGTTTTAAAATTTCAATAATTTAGTAGGCGCGTGCAGTTTCTATAAATCACACGACACTACACGTTTGATCACATGTTTTACTCATTTTGAACTCATTTTTTCAGGTGTCTTCTGTGATGATATGATCTAAGAGACACGGGTTTGATGTTTCTGTCACAAAACATGAATCTTTTACTAAACATAGCAAAGAAAAGCAAAGACCTCATAAACATGAAAACTGCCTTTGTTGCACTACTTGTTACTACTCCCATCCTTCGTTACTTCATGGAGGCGTATGGATACAACGTTAGAAATGTCGTCATGGGGGCCCTCGTTTCCAAAAACTTGTCAGTTTTTCCATCTGACAATCATTTGATCACATTTCCGAACTTAACAGATGCAATCACAGCGGAAATGAAAGCGAACGACATCAGAGTTATCATCAGCACTCTTCGACGCAAAGGTTTAGACATGAGCAGTGAGATTAACCAGTTAAAGTCCACACATGTTAACATAGCGAAGCCAGGTTTGAAAACTCTCAATAATTTCAGCGCCCAGACCGGAACAACTCGGCCTCCAGATATAACCGCAACACCACTTCCTAAAGACATTGCCAAGTTTTTCCCGAACAATACTGAAAAAAGTGGTGTAATGCAACTACTCACACTATTTGATACGTTAATGACCAAGCACAATGTGACCTACTTCATGTACAGCGGGACATTGATTGGTTCCTACAGACATCACGGCATGATTCCCTGGGATGATGATATTGATGTCATTTTATCAAAAAATCTCAAAGGACGTCTCAAACAAACTTTCTCCAATGTCTCCACAGACTATAAATTGTACATTAATCCAACATGTGGCGGGAAATTGTTTCTGTCGCGCAGCAAGCTATTTCCACGACACCCTTGGAGTTATCCGTTTCTAGATCTCTTTTTCTATGGAGAGAACGCCACTCACATATGGGACACGTGCCCTCATTACAAAAAAGAGTTCTGTTATCCGAAGTCGATTGTATTTCCCCTAAGGAGACGACCGTTTGAGAACCTGTCTTTGTGGGCCCCTCATGACACCAGAGCTGTGATTAGCAAGACGTACAAGCCAGACGAGTGCGTGTCGTCTGGCTATAACCATTCAATCGAACAAAGAATAAAATGGATTCAAGTTCAATGTTCGAGGTTATATTCGTTGCACCCGTTTGTGACGAGAAAGAATGTCAATGGCGGTTGCAATGAAACTCTGGTGTACAAAGGAAACATCTCTAACGTTTTTTACGAATCAGGTGTAACTTGCTATCATATTCTTTGATACTAGAATATATAAGACCAGGTGTTACCGGGACAATCATGGAAGGCATATATATTGCTCTTCTTTCCATCTGTTCTTGCGAAGTCTCAACATATAAAACTACAATTTTTAAGAATGTAACTGAATCGAGTTTTGATGTATTGTATTCCTAAAAAAATATTAATAAATAAATAAAATCATGGACATTTTTAATCGCCCTTGAAATATATATTTAGGAATACTAATTTAGATATTCAATATTTTTAAAGAAGAATATTAGCATATATATTTACGTTTGTCACATCATTTTTTTTTTAAAAGATGAATTTCTTCTAAATAATATAGGCCATTTTTAAAAAAGAAAAAATATTATCTACAGTTCCTTTACTTTAAAAAAAATACATATCATTTTCGATATATGAAGCATGAACCGATTTTGATAAATTGGTTATAAATTTAAAATTATCCAATCTTTGCTTCTGTCATGAACTATATTATTGGAAAAATCATTTAAAAACCGAATCTTTATATTTATAGACGATTCTCATATCTAATTTTCACGTCTAAAAGCCTTGTGTTTCGTAAATTTTTTTCTGAATCTCACTAAAATGTCCCTCGCCTCTAACCGTATTCTGTGCAAAATAGAAAAAAGCAACTAATTTTTTGTCCTTATATTTAAAGATAATCCTAAAGCACATTTGTTTACATTTTTCCGTCTTTAATTTAAAAAAAAAAAAAGGTATTATTATCCAAATAAAAATGTCCAACTTCCTTTTTTTCACATTTCAAATGTATTTTCAAGAAATATTTACAATACATTAAAAAACAACCCCAACATATTGTTATCCTAAATATTGACTATATAGAATGAGTAAACTAAAGTAAGGTTAAACCTGAAAAGGGAACGCAACAAAACAACGAACGTGTCCGCGGGAAGCCTTCAACAGCGATAAAACAACAACAACAACAAAAAAATAACAGAATAAAATTTAAAAAAAAACAACAGCCTTTAGCTTAGAAGTAGCAGCATTTGCATTATTTTATTCTTTTTTTTCTGTTGTTTTGTTCGATGTGGAAGGCTTCCTGCTGACACCTTCGGTGTTTTGCGTTCTCTTTTCAGGTTTAACCTCACTTTGTTTTACTCATTCCATATCGTGCTAACCTGATTGCAGCATCTCCCATTATTACCCTTAAATATGTGACTATCCGTTATCATCGCTCTTGAAATACATTTTTGGAAAACGGAAAAATTACGATGTCCTTTGTTTTAAAAGAAAATCTTATTCATTATCTTCCCCTTTAAAACTGCACTGAGTTTTAAGGAATGTGTATACTTTTGTTGATGGGTCCAGAATATGTCAACGCCCTTGAATTGCCTTTTCCGACATTACTTCTTTAAATTTAATCATACGACAAGATCATCTTAACTTAAAGTTAAAGCAATATAATAATGGGATAAAAAGGATACATGCACTTTAATGTAAGATATAATTACAATAGATTGCATTTTATACAAATACAATCTCCCATTCAGGTTTTCTTTCAGCCATCTCTCCGGACAGTGCCCCCTGGGAAATTCAAGTGCACCCCCTCCCGGAGCAAAAATATGCACATCAATATAACGATTACATATTTTCTTCAAATTAAAAACGACTAAATTGTCCTGTTTGAAATGAGTGGAATCTATGAAACATCTATACGTCCCAATCTATTGAATGATCCGTATATATACCGCTAATTTTGTTAAAGGCTTACAGTATTCGACTATAAATATCGTACTGGCCGCTCCTGATTACTTGCGGAAGTCTTACTTCCTGTTGTTTGCACTTATCGTTGTTTTTATTCATTTACTTTTCGGGAACTTCACAAATATAAAGACTTCAATAACGTGGTAAGATTCATCTTGCTAACGACTTATATCCCGTCTTGGGCATAGGGCATCTACAAGAATTTTCCATTAATCTCGTTCCTTTGCATTCTTTACCAATTGCTTCCGTGTATATCCCAAATTTGTTTGTCTGATTCTAGCTCACATCTCCATGTATTTTTAGGGCTTGCTCTCTCTCTTTTTCCCCTGTGGATTTCATGTTAGGGATTGTCTGATGATGTTATTTGTGTGCCCTACGAACTTCAATCTTTTCCTTACTATGTCTTCAGCAATAGGCTCCTGGTATGTCTTTGTTGAAGATGGTGTTTGGTCATTTGATGTTTTCAGTATCTTTCTAAGGCAAGCTTTATGAAGGTCTTTTCTTTCTGCGTAATGCTGGCTGTTCTACGAGTTTCAGCTCCATATTATAGGACTATTATGACATTTTTGTTGAAAATGCTGACTATGGTTTGGAGAGTCCGCCCCTTTTACTCTCATATTTTCTTTTGTAAGACCAAATGCTGATCTAGCCTTTCCAATCATAGCCCATCATTTAAGTCAGGGGTCTCAAACTCAAATCATCCGGGGGCCGCAGGAGGCAGAGTCTGAGTGAGACTGGGCCGCATAAAGTATTCAACAAAAAAGCGATTAAAACTTTAATAAAGTAAAACTGTTACAATCTGCTCATCCTTTAGTAATATCATATTGAAAACATTAAGGGTTCTCAAGAACTGGACTTTCTTCCTCCTACTGCTTGTTGCCAGAGACCTGACAGCGCAAGTGACCACGCTGACAGTTTCGGAATTTCCCTCCTTAACATTAGCGGTAATTTTAATAGGGATTCTTTGATGCTGTCAGATTGCAACGATTTACGCAATTATGATTGTGCATTACCCACTAACTGACTTTTGTAAATTTTGAAAGATGTATATACAATTTTCGAAGCGTACTTTCTCAAAACCACTCTATGAACATGTTTGTCGCATAAAAATGCTACAAATTACAAACTTTAATCCGATTTAAAAATCACTTTGACATTTATAATCAACGAGTCGATGGAACTCGCTAGCCTTGGATGGCAACTCATCTAATAGAAGGAAACTCTGAATTCAAACCCAAAGATGGAGTCCCGTGGGTGGATAACATTTGTTCAATGAAACATTACGACAACTCCTGCGACGACACTGATGCTAAGCTGTAGCATCCACATAATGTTCCCTTGGGTATCCAGTGGCGTGGAGATAGGCACTTTGCTGTTGGGAACCAGCTTATAATCATAGAAGAATAATCCGAGGCCTTGTAGATTTCGTCCTAGAAGTCTTCATCATCGTCATATTGTGACGGACGGATGCCAGCAAAAACAAAAATCAACGTCCAAATCTATACAAACAAAAATAAAAATCAGAAATAGACTAGTCGGTGAGGGTCGACTAAAACCGTCGCGGAGTGTCACATTATAGATATGAGAATGGGGGAAACTGGCAGTCCGCGTTAACACAACCTTGCTGTCATGTTGCGAGCTGCAAAATATCGACTTGCGGGCGGCAAATGACTCGCGGGCCGCGAGTTTGAGACCCCTGATTTAAGTCAATGGTGATGCCTAAGTATGTGAAGGCTTCCACATCTTCCAGTGCATTTGCTGCCAGGGAGATATGCTCTTAGTTGGCTGAGTTTAGCATTATGATCTTTATCTTGCTTTTATTTATATTAATAAAAGCAAGATTTATTGGTGCCCTCGACTTATCCCCATACACTCCAATGAAAATGACCGATACTTTTGTTGACGAGAGATGCACTGCCTAGGGGCGTAGCTACAATTCTGGCCACCAATGGGAACACATATTTTGTAAGCTCTCCCTTTCACGATACATCTGTGCAGTTGTCCATAAATGCCGCACCTCCATATGAAGAGAAAGTGAGACCTGGGTGAACAACCTCACCCTCCCCCTTTCTACGCCATTGAAAGGGGCGTAGCTAGAGTGTTTGGCGTCAGGGGACATGATTCATTTTGCCCCCCCCCCTTCCTAAACTCTGAAACTAATTATTTTCAACCCTCAAACATCATCAAAGCCCATTTGTGTTCCCTGCAAGTCTGGCGCTCCGCGACTTGTGCCCAACTGCCACCTCTTAGCTACCCCTCTGGCTATTGGCACTGCCCCCCCCCCCGAAAATCTGAAATCCACCCCCCAAACATCCTCAAAGCCCTTTTGTGATCCCTGCAAGCCTGTCCCCCCGCTCTATGTGCCCAACTGCCACCCCTTAGCCACCCCCCTGGCTATTGGCACTGCCCCCCCCCCCCGAAAATCTGAAATCCACGCCCCACACCCACAGGGAAAAATGTCTGAAAGAAACACTGCTCACATTGAGGTTAATACTTAAACTACTGTAATTTTAAAAGTATATTAGTTTACAAGTTAATAAATCAATACACATATAGATGAAAGTGTTGTAGCAATCGCATTTTGATAGGTCTAGGCACTTTGGGAAAACCCAACAACTGGGTATCCTAATTGCGCTGTCAAAATTGTGTGTATACAAATATTATAACTCTCGCATTCAGATACATACTTTTAATATTTAGAAAAAAAATACTTATATTGTAAAGATTACATATATAAGCATATATATTTTTATCGGATTTAAATTTATTAGATTTACGTAAAATAAAACATAGAAATAAATTTGTTTTTAAGAAATCCCTTTAGGGCATGAATTTTAGTTTTCGCGGCTATTGAACACAATGTTTTCAACGCTGTTTAGTGCAGTTATGGGGGATTTTATATTGTGCGCTATTGAACTCAGAGTTACAGAGCTAGCTAGCTCCTTCAAACTCAGAGTTACAGAGCTAGCTAGCTCCTTCAAACTCAGAGTTACAGAGCTAGCTAGCTCCTTCAAACTCAGAGTTACAGAGCTAGCTAGCTCCTTCTTATTAAAAAATATTGATTTTTTTGTGTTATTTGGTTTTGGTTCAAAGATCGTGAATGGGGTTGATCAATTTGAGTGTAAGCAATATCGGCAGCTATATATAACGAAGAGTAACAAATTCGGCATTTGGATTTATACAAATTACTAGTTATAGTTTGAGCATATGCATGCAATGTAGCAG